TTTTTTTATATATATATATATATATATATAAATGAATATGTGTCTGTCTGTGTGTATGTATGTCTTTTATAGACTCCTAAACCAACCGACCAAGAGCTATGAAACTTGGCACACAGATAGTTTCAAGCACGAGGAAGGTCACTGTTGACATTAGAACATTCTGCGAAAAGCCGTTCCAGCGATATGAGCGAAAAACGAAATGGAATTTTCTGATTTGTTAAGCGTTAGCCATTGTTTTAAATTTAGTGATTCAATTTTCACATATTTTAAAGATAATATCAGTGATAATTGCTGGCATATAGCTGTTTGAACAAAAAATAATTTATTGCACGTATTTAATTATTTTATATTCACTATGTCAGATGAATTCAATGAACATTACGTGTAGCATGCGTGATGTCATCAAATTGATACTGTATCATGGTGCTACGCGATTTTATTTTATTTATATTAATTCTTTTAAACGTGTTTCTAAAATGCTACTTATTTGAAATCAACGGTAATGAAATGGAAAAAAAAATATTTATGTATTCAAAAGCGAAAATTAATGGGAAAGGGGTATTAATTCGTTTAGGCGAAGCATCAAAACTTGACGCCAATGAGGTTTAATTACGCCAATGATGTTTAATTAATTAAGGTATATTGATGTATGTGTTAATAAGAAAAATGATTAGTTTTTATATATTTATGTAATCTGGCAACAAATCAATACTACTATTTAAACTTCTAGTTATGAAGCCTGTTTTCTTTATTATTTTTTATATATATATGATCATCGTTCTATTTTTATTTTATAGTATACTGAATAAACAGTTGCCCCACATGGATACCCCACATGGGATTACTGCTGCAAGCTGTAAGGCACTACTAGCTGTAGGCAGAGGCTCTTTAAAGATTATGACAAAAGTTAAAGGTGAGAGACAATTTAAGGAACTTAAAGAAGTTTGGTTAGTCCCAGATATTAAGAAAAATATATTTTCAGTACTAGCAGCACAGGATAGAAACAAAAACAGTAAATTCGTATCAACAACAGAGGAATGTTGGTTAAAAATTGGTAACAAAACTGTACTCTATGGTACAAGAAATGTAAGAGGTGGTTTGTATAAAGCAAAAATGCAAGTTCTTATTCCAAACAATCCAGTGGAAGTGAACTTAGTTACCACAAGGGATTCTCTTCTGCAATTATATCATGAGGGCTGGGGACACCAAGACAAACGCCATGTAAAGAATGTTGAAAAGCAAATGAATCTAAAAGTTGAATTAAACAATCAACTCTGTGAAGCATGCATCTATGGTAAAGCTCATCGATTAAAATTTGATAATAGACAAAAAATCAAGAGCCCTGGTGAGCTTATCTCAACAGATGTCTGTGGACCTTTTGATCAATCATTTAAAAAGTATCGTTATTTTTGTAGTTTTTAAAGACCATTTTACTAAATTTCGTTATGTATTTTATCTTCATAAGAAATCAAAAGTTACCCAAGCTCTTGAAAATATGTTAGCACATGCCAAAAATCTAGGGCACAATATCAAGGAGGTCTTGAGTGATAATGGAGAAGAATTCGATAATGAAAATGTGAGAAGAATTTTGCAGAAAGGTGGAATTATTCAAAGAATAACAGCTCCTTATACGCCCCAACAGAATGGCGGCAGTGAGCGAGAGAATAGGACTTTAGTAGAAATGGCAAGAACTTTGAAGAATTCAAAGTCAGAAATAAATTTTCCTTCATCATTATGAACAGAACTGATAAATACTCTGTGTACATATTAAACAGAACAGGAAAAAGTTCATTATCAAGCGTAAGTCCTTATGAATTATGGAAGGGGAAAAGACCCACAATAAAACATATGCGAATAGTAGGATCATCATGTTATGTCCATATACCAAGACAGAAGAGTAGAAAATGGATAAGAAAGCAATAAAAGGTTATCTATTGGGATATGATGGTGATGAAAGATATCGTATCTGGATAAAAGAAAACAATAATGTTATCTGTTCTCGAGGTGTAATATTTGATGAGAAACTTCTAATTAATTGTGAAGATTCTGCAGAAATACCTTTGATTGATACAATGAGTCAGTTACCTACTGAAGCTGAAAATGAGGGAAAGCTAGATCAAAATTACTTAAAAGAGAAAATGAAAGCAAAGATGAAGAAAATTTATTAACCATGAAACTAAGAAATCGAAGTGAACTAAGACAGCCTAAAAGTTTTGAAGATTATGTAATGGCAGCTGAAAGTTTCAAATCAAATTCAAATGAGCCAGAGTCATACGAAGAAGCTATTAATTGTAAGGAACACAATTGTTGGATAAAAGCCATGGATGCTAAAATCAAATCACTAAAAGAAAACCAAACATGGATATTAACACCTTTACCAGAGAAAGCAAATGCTTTGCCTTGTAAGTGGGTGTTTCGTATCAAGAAAAATCCCGACGGCATTATAGATAAATATAAAGCAAGACTTGTGATTAAAGGTTTTAATCAAAGAAAAGGTATTGATTACAGTCAAACTTTTTGTCCAGTTACTAATTTAGGAACTGTACGTTCAATAATAAGTATTGCAGCCTGTGAGAATATGCATCTTACGCAATTTGATGTATCAACTGCCTTTTTATATAGTAATTTAGAGGAAACCATTTACATGTATCAACCTGAAGGTTACACTAATGGCACCAACGATGTATGTAAACTCAAGAAAAGTTTGTATGGCCTTAAAAAAGCTCCTCGTTGGTGGCATAAATGTTTTGGTAGATTCCTGTTAAACCTTGGCTTTAAAGTTAATGAAGCAGATCAGTATTTATCCATTCGCGAGAAGGAAGATAAAAAGCTACTCGTAGCTCTCTATGTAAATGATGGACTAGTTGCTGCTACTCACGAAGAAGAGTCAAGAGACTTCATAAATCAGTTGAAAATTCAGTTCAAAATTACAAGCAAGCCAGCATCATATTTCTCAGGAGTAGAAATTTATAAACTTGATGATGGAAGCATTAAAATTGGACAAGAAGCTTCTACCACAAAGATACTACAGCAGTTTGGTATGAGTAATTGTAGGCCAGTTCATACACCCAATTTGAAAGAGGAAGAAACATGCACTACAGAAGAAGAAAATAAAACAGTATTTTCTTATTGTGAGGCTGTCGGTGCATTAATGTATCTTATGATGGGCATTAGACCTGACTTGGCATACGATATTAGCGCTTTGTCACGTAAATTAGAAAATCCTGCTAGCGAAGATTTTATCAAAGTAAAACGGGTATTTCGATACATCGCAAGTTCCAAGCAAAAATGTATTATCGATAAATCAGGCTACAAACCCGGAATTTCAGAATGTTTTAGTGATGTTGACTTTGGAGGCTGCATGAAGACTGGAAGATCGACGAGTGGAGTTTTAGTTTTGTCTGCAGGTGGGACTATATCTTGGGGCTATATCTTGGTGGGGCTATACCATAGTCAGCGTCAAACTATGGTTGCAATATCAACTACAGAGCCTTAGATAGTTGCTGCAAATGAAGCCGCAAAAGAATTAATTTGTCTTAAAAGACTCTTCAATGGAATTTCCTCCTTGAAAGAAGTGCCAACAATTTTTGTTGATAATAGTGCAGCTGTCAGATTAGCCCAAAATCACGGGTTTCATCGTAGAACGAAGCACATCAGTATAAAAAATTTCTTCATTCGTGAAAAGATTTTAGAAGAAAAAATTAGTGTGCAGCAGATTTCAACGGAGGTACAAACTGCTGATATATTGTCAAAGCCCTTGCCTAAACCGAGACTTTTAAAGCTATGTGGGGAAAAAAATAGTCTTTTCTATCTTATTTATATTTAGTCTTTTCTATTTTTATTTACGAAAGGTGTTTTGAATCTTGTATATTCAACATAGTATAAATAAAATGTTATAAAATGCATTAAATAAAAATACGATTTTTTTGAAATGATAATTTGGACGATTGAAAATTATTAGAAATCATTTATAATTTTGTATCGTGTTACATGTCGCCAAACATAGTGGATATGGTTATTCGATTCTAATATCATGATTAGAATATTTGATGAATCGCGATACAAGATATTCTATAATAACGAAATAAATAAATCCATTTCATTCGGAGGAAAGTGATACAACACATCCATTTAGGTATTAAAATTAGAAAATAGAAAAACTCTATTGGAATTTTGATTTTAATTTTATGAAATTAAAATTCCTTTTTTTCCAGGCAAAGATAAATTTTAAAAAATGGATCAGAAAAGCATATGTTTTTAACATATTAAAAATTCATTCGGATATATAATTCATTCAAGGATAAGTGAGTCAACACATCCATTTAGATATTGAAATTTGAAAATGGATCAGAAAATCATATGTTTTTAACATATTAAAAATTCATGTGGAGATATACTTCAGTCGGAGATATAATTCATTCGGAGATAAGTGAGTCAACACATCCATTTAGGTATTAAAATTAGAAAATGAAAAAACTCTATTGAAATCCTGATTTTAATTTTATGAAATTAAGAATCCGGACACAGCTAGATTTTAGAAAATGTATCAGAAAACCATATGTTTTTAACATATTAAATATTCATTCGGAGATAAGTGAGTCAACACATCCATTTAGGTATTAAGATTAGAAAATGAAAAAATTTTCTGATTTTAATTTTATGAAATTAAAAATACATATTTTCCAGACACGGCTAGATTATAGAAAATGGATCAGAAAAGCATATGTTTTTAACATATTAAAAATTCATTCGGAGATATAATTCATACGAAGATAAGTGAGTCAGCACATCCATTTAGGTATTAAAATTAGAAAATAAAAAAGCTCTATTGGAATTCTGATTTTAATTTTATG